TGGCGAATTGCTTTGCAAATGCAATTCTTCAACCTTCAAAACACTCTGCTTCAGTCATACGCGCTACAATCACCCTGAATACATTTTCAGTGGACAACGACGTGACCGCATAGAGCGTCACTGGTACGTGTCACACTTAAAGCTTCGAACTGTAACATTCTGATAAACGTTTGATGTTTTTTTTTTTATTAGTTGCAGTCTATCTGAAGCAAAATGTATAATGGAAATCCGGTGACTGTGTTGCCCATTAAAGATAGCGTTCTGCAGATTGTCCTGGAAATAAATCAGTTCCCTGCCAGTAAAATATAGCATTTTCACCGCCGGCTCGGGACCAGAGCGATAAGCATTGTCCAGGAGCTCAATTGAAACACGGGCATTGTTTTATACTACGATCGCATGCTCACTCGTGAATGGGTGATGTCGACCCAGGTAAGACCCGGCACGGGTCGGATCTCGTCCCGTGTCACGAGTTCACGTGCTCTGTGCCACTATCCAGGCCCAGCTCTTCCAAGCGCTCACGCTCTATCCCATTTCATCTCCCCTCACCTTGCCCAGCCGTCTCAGTCTTTCCCTCCCTACCCTCCCACAACAGAAGCGAATGGAAGGTGGTGAGATGTTATCCACTTCGCCTGGTATGCAGGAGACATAGGTTCGATTCCGACCATGACACCACCGTATATTTGGAGTTCGCATGTTCTCCCTGTGGTCGCGTAGATTTTCATCCGGGTCATCCGATTATTCCCTCCACATTTTAGAAACGTGCTTTTAAGAGTATTCGGCTGCCATACATTTCCATGTGATAAGCCACTTCGTTGAGCTATCATCTGTGGCCAGGTCACGTCTGAAGAAGAGATATACCGGTAGGAACCACCTGGTTCCACCAGCCCACAGGGGATTATTGTGTCCGTCCGTCCGTCGTGCATCCAAAAATGGGAGGGGTGGGGCTGGGTGGAGAGGGGAGGATGGGGAGGGGCTGGGTGGGGAGCGGAGGGTGGGGAGGGGCTGGGTGCGAGGAGTGGGGCTGGATGGGGGGTGAGAGGGGTGGGGCTGGGTGGGGAGGGGAGGGGCTGGCCACCCCGTGGTGCCCTTATAAAACTCAACGTTTAACCTACTCACGCCGGCTTGTGCCCGCCCTCACAGTCGGCCATATTTGCGGAATACACCACGCCGCCGTTGACCCTGGCCATTGACGGAGCAACCCAACGTTCCTACCAGCTCCCTCCGCAGGAATATGTTATAGCTCAGTGGGCCTTACCTGGTAAAATTAAAATAGGTAAACAGTGAATAGTTAGTTAATAGCTTTTTTTACAGAAAGGGTCCGTGTGTTAAAACACCAAGCAGTTCTTCGCCATCTCGAATGTCAAAACCAGTCCACAAGTTTGCTTGTTGTCTAACCATTGCTGCTGAAAAGATGGTCTCCCAGAAGGCCGTGCAGCTGATAAGGTGCGAGGAAAAACTTGTCAATGTTAATGCAGACAGACAAACATTAGAAAGAGGTGTTCCTGTCTGCCTATTTATGTTGAAACCACTATCCTCCACAATGACACTTGAATATTCAGTGTTTTATATATTGTTTAACAGGGTTTAAAATGTCGAATGGTTGTGTTAGGTTAGGTTAATACAAGCTAATATCGTTTAAATTTGTCTTTTTCCATTGTTTTTATTTTACTCTGACATTGGGCCTGAGGTTCGACCTTAGCGACGGACTCCACTGACTCACTTTCTGACCCCCGTAACGTTTTACGACCCGGTCCAGACGGTTGCTTGGGTAAAGACGTGACAGCTCGCTTCCAAACAGCGAGCCAAGTGCCACCATAAGGAAGAGGGGTGGGTGAGGTCTTGGTGTTGTGTCAGCCCAGTGAATCAACCGCTGCCGTTAATCCAGGCCCCGCGCACTTTCCCGGTTTACAAACGGGGCTCAACTCGCTTCCTCTGTGGTCATGGAAACGTGACGACGTGTGTACGCTTACCCGACCATCGCCCGTGAGTAAGAACGCTTTGTTGATTATACATGTGTTTTTCACCTTGTTTCGGTTTCCCCAATGAAGTGAACAAACACGGCAAACGTGTCGGATGCCACAAGGAACTCTGTGCATTTCAAAATACGGGTTGGGTGGGTGGGCCCTCCTGCAGAATGACTTGTCGAGATTTTGGCAACAAGAAATAGTATTGTAATTGACGCATCATAACACGCACCTGGAACTACTCTAATAATCTACTGATTTGCGTGTGTGTTTGTGTGCATACAAAAGGCCAGTGCCCGTACTTCGGTTTGTTGATAACGTCTGTCGCAGGTGTCCTGCTCGCAATGATTGAAATATTATCCACATTTTCTGCAATTGAGCGAGCTCAATTATCAAGCTACGTATAATTGTTTTGAAAATGTCACAAATATATTTGTGTGATGTAATATGTAAAAACAATATATTCTATACAAAGCTTAACTTCCCACCACCACCATATTGTTGTTGACTATGCATACAGAACTGAGCTATGATATCTGGTTAATCCCATCAGCTAAACCCATACCCTGTTGTCTGCAAGATGCCCCCCCCCCCCCCCCCGCTGATGTTCTGAGATGGATTAAGTAACATAGAGTCCATTCATCAAGTGATGAAGTAACACATTGTATGTGTGTGCACATTTACCGATTGCTTTGTGAAATGAGGAGCTGGTGTGGGTGTGTCTGCATCAGCACTGAGAAGACAGAAGTGGCCAAGAATGGTGCTGACTTGGAGACACCCTCACGCGCTGCGCCGACTTAAGAGCTTATCATTAGTGTGGTGCAATAGTGGACATCCAGCCCCTGGAGCCGGTAGTGGACATCCAGCCCCTTGGATGTCCACCACCGGTTCAGTAAGGGTCAGGGTTTCAGCAGCGTAGCTTTGGAGTGCAACTGCACCAGGGCCCGTGGGCCGGATGGGAGTCAAGCGGAGGGCTACGAAGAGGCGGGGGCCGGGGGCAGGGGGGCATGGGGGGGGTTCTAAAACTAAACTAAACTATTTTTGTTTTACCAGCTAAGGCCCACTGAGCTTATTAGCTCTTTTTCAGCAGCGGCCTGGTCACAAATAATAGCTCAACGAAGTGGCTAATCATGTGGAAATTTATAGCAGCCAAATACTCTAAACGCATGTTTATTTATTATTTATGTATTTTTCTTTTTAGGCAATCTGCGGGCCCATTTACATCACGTTGTGACGAACGTATAAACGCATGTTGCTGAATGTGGAGGGAAAAACCGGAGGACCCGAACAAAAATCCACACGACCACGGGGAGAGAGAGCATGCAAACTCCAAATCTACAGCAGCAGCCGTCAGGGTCGGGATCGAACCGATGACCTCCTGTATACCAGGCGAGGTAGTTAACATCTCGCCACCATGATGGACTGGACAGGGAGTCCCCCGATTCATTGTTTGCACTGAGGCCCATGCCTACTATGCTACGTCACTGGCAACGTGGAACTACGGTGGAGCGTTCTCAGGCGGGGCATTCTGATATCTCCTCAGAGGTGAAATCGATCCATCATCCTTTCAAAGCGAAATAACATGAGTACCACTTTGTGGAAAGTCAGCAGTTTGTTGAATTATGAATGAACAGACTCACTCCCACCAGAGGAATGTGGAATTCCCACCAATGACCAATGACTGCCAACAGTTATCAGGATTGGCTCATGTTCATACGAGCAGGGAATCTCTTTGCCTTTTCCATGGAAGAACAAAAAAAAAAGGTAGCTTTAGGCACCGTAATTTGTTCCCTGGGGGAGCGGTGACACAGTGGTTCACGCACTTGCACTATAAACCCAGTGGCCAGAGGTTGATTATTAGCCATGGCTAACATCAGTGGCGAGTGATGTCTGAGACCACCATGGTATAGGTAGGCCTTCATCCAGCAGTAGATACAAAATCGTTGATGATGTATATCAGGCTGTATATCAAAGCACTCAGCACAAGCCATTGTTTGCAATAACCAGAAATTTTGTTATGCAAGGCAGACGTGCAGGGTTGCGAATGCTGCCTGTGCAACTCTCAATTCCCACGGCCTAAACCCAATTAGGCGATAGAATGGTGGTGCAGTGGTGAGTCCATTGCTCTATGAACTCGGTGAGTATCATGGTGTCATGGTTAGGGCATAATCAGAATTGCAATCCAGAGGTCGCTGATTCGATTCGATTCGATCTCTCGATATTTTTAATTCGCAGAAGTGAGGGTTGAGCCGAATTCACTGAAATTCAGTGGGCAGTTTTTTCAAAGCCAACCTATCCGTGTAAGTATGATGACAATGATGACAATTTGCAATTGGCAGAGCAGCGGTTGAAACAATTGAGCAAGTTTCTTTAAACCAACCCCACCCTCACCGCCGCCTCTGTCCACCCAGCAATAAAAATGGTGTACGCCACGGACGGCTGATCGACAGGTCGTGCCTGCCGGGGTAAAGTGTGTGGGTAGTCCCACCTCTTCCCGAGACGTCTGGCCAGCGTGGAAGAGTAGGCCAAAATTCCCTCTAAGAGGCTGTCTCTCTCGAGCTCCCTGGAGCAGAGCACCTTCTGCTAGCAGTTGGGGCAAAGGAAAAGCAATTTCACGGTGGCACCTTTACCTTTCTCTTTGATAAAACTACAACTATTTTTATTTTACCAGGTAAGGCCCACTGATCTATGTAGCTCTTTTTCAGAAGCCACCTGGCCACAAATGAGAGCCCAACGAAGTGGCTTATCGCGTCGAAATGTATTGCCACAAAATACTCCAAACGCGCGTTTCTTCCAAATGCGGAGGGGATAACCGGAGCACCCCGGAGAAAAATACACATGACCAGCACGGGAAGAGAGACACGCAAACTCCAAATGTACAGCAAGCGTCGGGGTCGGCATCGAACCTCCGACCTTCTGTATACCAGGCGAGGTAGTTAACGTCTTGCCACCGCGTTACCCATGACCGTCCCGACCAAACGCGGCATTCAAGATGGGGCGGTGATGACCGTGCGAGTGCGGGCAGCCGGACCCCACCTTGCTGTAGTGAGCGCCGTCCTGCAGGGTGCCGTCACGGTACCAGGTGATCATGGCCGCGGGTTTGGCGCGCTCGGCGCGACACGTCAGGTTGTACGGCGTTCCCGCCTTGAGTTGTACCATCGGCCCGTTCTCGATCGTCGGCTCGTCGGGGGGGACTGTGGATGGACACGGTGGGGGGAGGGGGGGGGGTCATGTAATTCTTGGTTATTTTCCATGGTGTTCGTCTCGACGTTTCTCCCGTCCGTCCATCTGTGAGATCCATTCGTGCTTCCGAGGTGGTTCAGCCTCTGGTGACACACTGTGCCAGATGACACGAGTGCTTTATTTCCGCAAAACTTTATCGGAAGGTAAGCGAGCAATGTGTTCCCTGGTGATATTAAGATTGATTGAGGTGTGCCCTGCCCCTGCAGCCTCTGCTCGTATGACTCGCAGCTTAAAGAAGAATGCTTGGCTTACGCAAACAGTCTAACCAGCTAACATTAATTCAAAATTTATTCTGCCGATGCTCCGAATGGGAACACTTACTCGAGATGCATTACACTGGTTACGTGAGGATGATACGGAGCAGTACATAATGCATTACGCATGTTGCTAAAATTATTTAAAAGCCTACCACAGACGAAGAACAAAATATATCCTTTAAAATGTTATTACCTTGCTACAATTACTTTCTTTTACGTCAGAGTAGATGAGAGAGTATATTAGTACGCGATGCGGTTGCAGGTTGGACCATGTCAAGTGGTTTTCTTTGAAGTCAATTTTGTATATTTCTGACCTGATTATCTGCCACAAAACTCCGTCTGCCACTGAGAACAAAACTTTTTCTAAGTGGCCTTGGTGTAATATTGTGAAACGAAAGAAAAGCAGTGTCACAGAAGTAGTTGTAACTGCAAAGAACAAGAGCTGATTTTAAAGTGTGTATTATCCATGCTGATGAAAAAACCAATAGGACGTGTTTTATTTTGTCGGTGGGAACATGTAGAAGTAAGTTACCATGGAAAACTCAATATGGTTTTCCGAGAAGTGCAACATTACATCGAGCAATCGGTAATCAAGCATCGACAACGCTTGAGCGATCTGAAGCATCAAGAGTAGGGTTTACACCCGTATGTGTTTATGTACTTATGTTGATCTTCTTTCATACCGTATGTAGCCAACTGTGATAATCGGAGGTGTTGGTGAAGGACAACAAACTAAACTTCAAAAAGCTGTTCTAAAGAAATGAGTTTTCAGTCTAGATTTAAAAGTGCATAGCTCCAGTGGCTTCCTAATATCGGAAGGAAGAACCATTCCAGATTGACCGCAGAAGCGCGTCTGAAAGCGCAGGACGCAGCGACCGTCTTTGTACACCCAGAGGTATACACCGTGCACTCTGCTGACATTTCCCACGTCATCAGTAGCATACCGACAGCGCACAGATGAAGGTCTCACCGTTCCGTGTCGGACACAGGGGCTTTCTTTGCCATACTTTACCACGCTTAGTCAATGTGTGTCAGTGAAGGCACGATGGGGCCCAGGACCAGTTCAGGTATCGTTCGCCACTGATCTTAGCCCTAGTTGTAAATCCAGCTCAGGTCTCCAGATCGATAGCATCGTACAATAATTGCATACATTTAGGTTGTATTTAGAGATTTTATTTTGGCATTGGTTACTTCATGAAGTGCAATTGCAGTTTGTCTTTATATAACGTGCACACTTTGTTGTGAGCAATATAGACAGTTACACACGTTTAATAATGATAATTATAGGCCAAAAAGAACAACTTATTTCTATGAATACATTAAAAAAACCTTTCCCAATGTTCATATGAGTGTTGAGCACCACTCTGGTAGTCAATTCTAGGGAATTGTTGAAAATTGCATTGTGACAGTGAGGACCAGCATTTGCTTTATCAGTTGTAGCAATCACTTCACACCAGGTGATGGTCACATGCTGATACGCAAACAACCCAACCCAATCTTAGAATGTGTGCCGAACAAAAAAGTTGGCATTGGAAAATCTACATCTAAGTGCATTTAATTTGACATATATTGGAATGGTTCAGTATTTATGAAGATACTCTTTGCCTTTTCAGAAGACAGGTTTGCACTGGCTGCACAAAAGACAAATATCCCCACAATAGCCTTTACAGATTACTCAGCGCAAGTGTTGTTAGCGAGCATCAATTTAAAGGACAGCATGCAAGATGAGGGGGTGTTGTAGCCAGCACCATGCCTGGCCGCCTTTGTCACCCCAGTACTGATGTATGTACATTGCACACACTTGTACACTAAAAAATAAGAGTATTTCGGATAGCTGGAGGACCGCTGGCATTGTTCCAATCATTTTCAATTCAGCATATTGCTTTTTTGCTTGGGAAGAAACAAGCTCTGTTTTTGTTAAATTGCTCCTATTTAGCTATCTCCGCCTCGGGGCAATTCCACCAGATTCTCGAGACGCAAGCAGTTGCCAGGCAGGATCGCAAGGGTGGGGAAAGCACACTATGCAAGCTGCAGATATCTATTTAACCCTTTCCCATTCCGATGACGTACGTGTACGTTTTTCTTCCAGCTCCATTCCAATGACGCACGCAGTGAAAGAAAACAACTTTTCCGTTACCGAGGCTCCCATGAGGCCATGCGGGAGGGCGAGTGGCACAGTTTGGCGGCGGTCGTGTCGCGAGAGTTCTCTGCGGCGTGTGCAATGTCTTAAAAAACAACGGCGCTATGCCTCTCCAAAAAAAAATGTATGCCGCGGTGCTTGCACGTTCTGAGATCCAGCGTGGAACGGAACCCCCACACAGCAACTTGCAGTCGTCTCGGAATGGTAGAGGGTTAAGCTGTTTCCATGGGATCGACAATCAATTTAACAAATATCGATATCCACTGGCTTAAGTCTGTCATCCAGCAGCTCGCATCTGTCACGTCTGTATGCACACAGACTCCTCTGTCAGACCGTGACATTTTTGGTGTGAAAATCACATCGACATGCATTAAAACTAAATTATTTCTCCCCCTTATCAAGAAAGCGCAGCCAGCAGTGTTTTAGTGAACTCTAATGGTGTCAAGTAGCTTACGCCCCTGGCACTTTACACCCCAGCGAAATAGCTACCGGTGTTGTAGAGGTAGAATGAGTCTCGTGTGTACGTTTGTGTGTTATAGGTCTCTATAAGTGTGTGTTTGTGCACCTTTGTGGGGAGCGGTAGCTACAAACCCGGTAAGCCAAGTTAGATTACTGCCCATGACCAACACCAGTGAAGGTTATCTCAACTGATCCTGGACCTCTCCTAGGTCGACTCAGCCTTAAATACGTACCTGATACGGTGTGTAAACATCGCCACTGGTGGATACAAAGGCAGTCGGGCATGGTTCTGGCCACCCATCCCGCTCGTGTTATGTGCTGGGCTTCATAGGTGCTCACTAACAGCACTTGCCCCACAGACTGTTAAAAGGCTTTAGGGGGATCTTTGTGTTTACGTGGCAGACAGCAGAGTGGTTCGTGCAATTGACCTTGCTCCCATCTCCATGGTGCTGAAGATTCAACTCTCATAGCTGTCTGGTTATTTTCTCCAGGGAGTTTACCAAAGGCGTGCTTCCTGTTGTCAACAAGAAATTCCCCATTTCATTATTGTTCAGCCCGTGTTATAGCCCAACTGCACAATTTGATAATGGCCTGCAATGAAAGTGTGATAATAAAACACATATTTGAACCATCTGTGTCGCTGCAGATTAGTAAGCCCTGGTGAAACGGAGATAATCTCACTCGATGAACTCACCAGATAAAGTACAACGCGGGCGTCTGTGTACACACACAATAATTATGTGTTGCGTTGCATCATCACATTGTTGTTACTGCTCGTGCATCACTATTCGCACCTGTTAATGAACATACATTGCATGTGATACAAGCTAGCTCGCGTGTTGTGTACTCATTCCACAGCTCACATCAAAGTGACCGCACACTAACCACATACTTCCTGTTGGGTCTTGATGAAGGACACGGATTAGAAGAGCGAACGCAGGTTAAATGTGTTATTTTAACCGTCAAGACAAGTACGTGGGCTTGGGCAGGACATATCCCTAGACGGGTGCTGGCTGATAGTCAAGAATAATGACGGAGTGGCTGCCAAATGGATGGAATGTACCCAAGTGGACGTCCACTTAGCATATGTAGCATGTAAATCAGTTCATGTGCAAGGGCTAAATAACTTGTTACATCACAGGATTGTGAGAGGTGGCCTTCATCCAGCAGTGGATGGAGCATGGCTACTGCTGTTAATGATGATGATAGGAGGAGGAGGGGGGGATGAAGGCCATGATTACCGCGTCCATTAAATCAAACATTATTGAATCGCCCCTCCCGTTATTAACTGCTTTAGCTGGTCACAAAATACCACCCGATATTACGCGCAGCAACAAATCAGACGTTGTTGTCGCGAGCACAAAAATCACAAAGGCACAAGACAGTGCATACTTTATCTTAAATATCCAGCCCATTTCTTTACAAAACCTTTCTTTGCTCGAGACCTTGACGCATTGTATATTCTCCACAATTGGGAATGTTTTACTCGGATCGAATAGAATGCAGGAAACGATTCTGTGCACCACTGCCGTCGATAGGAGAGTCACCTCTCATTCTCTAAGGAGACACTGGGCCCCTGCCATCGGCATGTGGAATTTCCAGTGCCGTCTCAGGGCCCACCGATGGAGATGAGTGCCACCCCATCGCTTGCTTCAGCAGGGAGATACCTTGGAAAATAAATACTCATTGCGAATGGGCAAAGCACCTGACCTCACACGCGGGACCAGCTTTTACCGAGACGTACGCACATCACCTGTGTTTTATTTTAGTAGAGCTGATAGCCAGGTTTTGTTTGCCAGAACAGCTATTTGGCACTTAAGTCCATGCCGCATCGGTTCACAAAAAGGATTTGGGATTTGGGTAGTAAACCCATTCTGATGTAAATTCAATACAAGCTCAAATGAGCACACGTTGAAATGAAATCCTCGTGTCTGCAAAGCAGTGCAAAGCACTTGATGACCCACTTTTCAAAATGTTCATCTATTTTGTATGTACACATTCTGTAGCAGAGTATGTGTGCGGTCATGCTAAACTATGAATCTGATGATGTCTGCCCATTAAATCAGCATCAGCACAAAAGTGCTGAAAGTTGGTGCAAGGTTTTCTCATGATTGGTATCATTTAATTTCTCCCACTTTCCCACTAACCAATGTGCTCTTTGGAATGTCTCGGTATGAAATGCTGTATAAAGCGGATGCCGTGTGCATGCCAGCGTGTATGCGTGGGGAGTGACTGAGCGTGTTTTGGGTGATGCGCTACAAACCCGGCAACATAGGTTTGATTCCCAGACACGACAGACTTTGAGTAGCCATTGACATACAGGGTGTCCATAAAGTCTCTATCTATTTTATTGAGCGAACGGTGTATATATACTTATATTTTGCGTGTGTTTCTTTTCAGGACCCGACGAATAAGAACGCATTACAGCGTGCGACGGTATTAACACTTGCAAAAAGATGGGTGCTCCTTGTCGTTACGCAAACATCGTGTCGGGAGAACCTTGATGAACGATTTCCAAATCGCTGGATTGGATGCAGGCGGCGACAGACCCTGGACGGCTCCATCTCCGAATTGAATGCCTTTCGGGTTTCTTTGCATGGGGCTTAATCAAGTCAGAGGTGTATTCAACAAGAGATACAGATCTGCAATATTTACTAAATCGTGTAGTTTTTTTACTAAATCATGCAGTTACGAAAAGAACTCCACAGATGCTGCAGAATGTGTTCCGCAATGCAGCTAACAGATTTGAGCTGTGCAGAAATACTGACGGTGCTCACGTAGAATCCAATGATTAAGTGAAATTAATAAATACGACTCTGATTATATTATTGCATACTTTACCATGAATTTCTTTGATTTCCATTAAATAGATTGTTGAACTTTATGGACACCCTGTATGAACTGACTGTAGGGCCTCCCCTAAATATGACTCATTCTTACATGTAGACCTCGGCAAGGTAAGGTAATTTACACTATTTACCGGGTAAACGGGCAAAGGGTAAAGGTGTCGACATGCCAAGGGGTAAGGTAAAGGGTAGGGTAAAGGTAGCTCGGAAGAATTACCCGGTAGGATAAAGGAAGCGCGAAAGTATTACCCGGTAAATACGGTACCTTGTTTACCACTAAAAGCTCCGTGGCGCAGTCCGTGGCCTCCATTTAATAAGTAATATTTAAAAAAACTTTTTTTAAAACACGCTTTTATGAAATGTACTAATAATGGAATAACTCCACTACTCCAGGAAGTGGCTACTAAGCTTGCCATAACGTAAGGGACCGTGGTAATTTACAGCCAACGTCAGTTGACCGTGGACAATTATAGCCAAGCCGAAACATAACATGTAAAAAATGTTTACATTTTTTTTATGATAGAATATAGTATTGTCATCAGTATGACATAAGTATACCAAGTTTGCAGTCAATACCACATTAGGAAGTGGGTAAAAATTGAGTTACAAGATTTGAGGATACAACGACGACAACAACAATGACAACAACTAGCGTGTAAAATAGGAATCATCGAGAGTATTTATATGAGTAAAGCGCTCTACCTCGCATTTACCGTTATAAACCTTGTTGATGTGTAGTAGTTCCCTAGTAATTACCCTGTAATCGGGTCATTTTTATGGGTAAGGGTAAAAGGTAGGGTAAAAGGTAGGCTCGTTGCTTTTTACCTTACCTGCTGAAGGGTAAAAGGTAGGGTAGAGTGATTGTATTGTGGTAAGGTAAAGGTAGGCTCGTTGTTTTTACCTTTTAACTTTTATCTTACCTTGCCGAGGCCTACTTACATGAGTGCCAAAAAGACAGAAGTGGCTGGGCATGATCTGGCCAGCCACTTCTGATTCGTTTGGCATTGGAAGATGTGATGGCAGCAGAAGTCAGTGTAAATTATATTTTTAATTCCCTTTATTTTCAATGTTATTTTTATTCTTTTATTGTTATCTTTTTTTCTTTGTCTATCTACACGACTTTACCGAAAGAACCATAAAATATGAATTCCTGCACTCACGAAAGTTTTAAGTCAAAATTTAACCGCCTCTACGGGGAGAGTTTCCACATAACCATAAGATCTTTTAACAAACTCCGAGACAAGAAAGCTCATCTGATCGAGTCACTCACATTTCTGAAGAGATGCCGCGACTCTAAGGTAATACCGTCACATCTTCCAATGACAACGAATCTTGTTTAGGGCCAGCAATCAAATTCACCATGGAGGTAGAAAAGGATGGCGTGCTACCCTTCTTGGATATCTTAATCAAAAAGAGACCAGATGGTTCAATGAGCCAATCTGTCTACAGTGAAGTAACCCATTCTGACGCCTACCTAAAACCTGATTCCCACCACCATCCAACCCAGAAGAATTCCCTCATCAAAACGCTACACCAATGTATCTCCGACCATGACCACCTGACCAGTGAACTCAAACACGTACACCAGGCTCTCAAGGCGAATGGATATTCTGACTACATAATTCGTAAAGCCATCACCCCAACCACGAGGAAGGAGCCATCTAAAGATCAAATCAAAGCCATCACCTTACCGTACATCGCAGGGATAACCAAAAAGATTTCCAAAATCTTGAACAAACACAAGATCCAGGTCCGATTTAATACAATGCATTAAATTCGGTACCTGATCCCATCTCTGAAAGACAAAATTCCTGACATGCAATATCCCGGCGTCTACAAACTAAGCTGTATCTGCGGGAGCAGTTACATTGGGGAAACCAAACGACATGTCTCGGACCGTGTTCGTAAACACAAGGTAGATCTAAAACACAGCAGGACCAATACTTCTGCCATGGCTGATCATTACTTTAATGCGGCTGGCTCACATGAAATTGATTTCTCTAAGACGATGGTACTTTGCAAGCCGACTATCAACAAATATTCGTTTACGAAGCCATCCATATATACAGACACAGACACAATTTCAACCGAGACGACGGTATTAAACTCAGCAATCATTGGAAAGATGTCATCAACCACTTTGGGTCATGACTTGATTTGTGTTTTCTTGTCCACCTCTACCGTCAGCAGTGTGGGTGTGTGGAGCGAGGTGCAATGCTTTGATTGGTGTAGACCTACTGCCAGTGTCGGAGACCTCTCCTAAATTAACATTAGCTGCCCTGCCCATCTCTAAACCTTTATAAACAGCCTGCCTCAGCAGCTTTCCCCCTCTTTTTTCTCCTGATGACGATTCCTTGTGTTGCGATCGAAACGTCAGGATATTTTTATTATTTTTATTCACTTTATTTTCATTGTTATTCTTATCATTTTATTGTTTTTTTATCTCTGTGACTTTACCGAAAGAACCATAGAATATAAATTCCTACAGTCACGAAAGATTTAAGTCAAAATTTTACACTGGCTTTCTAATGTTCATCATAAGGTGGCCTTCTTCAGAATATATTCAGTTCTTGAGAGACAGCTCCTGAAATAGTCTTGTTTAGTCAAGGTCAGGCAGTGGGTGTTATCAGATCAATATTGCGTTAAAAGAAGTTTACATTTGGATTATCTGACTGAAGTTGAAAAAGTGTCATGAATGTGTGGACATTCCATTGAGCGGATTATTATTACCAAACTCTTTGGATTATAAGATGCTCCTAAAAGTATGACACACCCCAAAAACGTGTGCCTGGTGTCAAAACAGTAAAACAAATAGGGACGACAAAGACGACAAATATTCCCCATATAGTTTTAACAGACTGTTGGGGCAAGTATGGGGTGCTGGAATTTGTTAAGGCCAGCCCATCACACGATGGAATAGGTGGACATCACCACACCCGGTAGCCATTGTCCCCCGAGTGGCGACGTTTACACACCGCACCAGGTACTCCTTTTAGGCTAAGTTTACCTAGGGGAGGCTCAAGACCGGTTCAAATAATCGTCACTGGCGTTGGCTGTGAGCAAAAATCGAACTCGGATCGTTGTGTTTGTAGCTCTCCAAAAGAAAAACCCAAATATCCCCTTCATAGCCTGAACAGACTGTTGGGGCAAGCGCTGTTAGCAAGCACCCGTTAAGGCCGGCCCAGCACACGATTGAGTGGGTGGCCAGCACCACGCTCAGCTGCTAATAGGGACACACACACATGCACCTAATGGATTATAAGATGCACCCTTAACTTTCGCTTCGGGGGGGCGGGGAAGTCCATCTTATAATTTATAGAATATGGTCTCAACACCACGCAAGCGTGGACATCCCATTCGGCGTTTGCACCGTTTGTCCATACGCAACTGCTTACTGACTCCCTGTTACGAGCGCGGCGAGCAGTGCGACCGACTCACTCAGCACGGTGAGGTGTGCCGGCCGGGACCGCAACGCGGCCTGCGTGGCCTGGCACTCGTAGACGGCGTCGTCGGCGAGCTCGGCGCGTGACACCTGCAGGTTGTGCTCGCCGCCCTGCATGCTGCCCACGATGGAGTAGCGCGGCCAACCTGCGGGCGCGACCACCGCCGACACACGCAGAGCGTTAGGGCAGCGACAGCGACGACGATGCGGATAATAATGACGATGATGATGCCGCAACAATAACGATGCCAACAATGGCATGACAATAGAAATATCAGGACGATGACAATGCCCATTCTAGAGTTTTTTGGGGTTTGATCGCGTAAATATAAATGTCTTTAAAAGCCACCACCGCCCGACATAGCCAATTAGTGAGGTTTTTTCACGTAAACAAAACTATGCCCATTTGTTATCAGTACAGCACACCGGTGTGTTGGGGAGTAAGCCCACAACATTTTTTATTTAACTCTCCAACACACCGGCGTGCTGTACTAGTAACAAATTACCATGTTTGGTCACGTGACATACCTTACTAATTGGCTGTGTCGGGTGGTGGTGGGATAACGACACATTTATATTTACGCAATCTAACCCAAAAACCTCTTATTATCATTAATAATATTGATCGCGATAGACTACGTGATAACAATGCCACAACAATAACATTATCACAACAATAGCAATTACACAATAACAATACCACGACAATAATAACACCACAATGCCAACGAGATAACAATAACAATGTCACAACAATCACAACAATAGCAATAACTCAACAATAACAATGCCACAACGATGACAATGTCAGAATAATAATATCAACATCATAATAACAGCAATGCCACAACAACTACAATCACGCCACAACAACTGCTCCACCACAACACTAACAACACCACCACCACCAAACTACAACAACAACAACAATGCCGTAACAACAATAATCACACTGCATTGGGATGCCATCTTCTATTCCTATCTCGTGTAGGACAATGTATTCAGCAGCTGAATGCCGATGCTGAAGTCTCATAACCACGACGAGAGGGCTTCTGGAGAGATATTGTGTGTATCTGCTAATCCTTAAGGAGAGCAGCCTACATTGGTTTGGTCTATAGTCCACAGTTTGGGTAGCAGGGCACACAATCGCACTGCCGTGGTTTATCTTAGAATTCTCCATTCGTGGAGATGTGCGCATCGGCCTGTTGATGTTCTGACCCGCCTAATGGTTCAACCAGTGCCTTCGCGGAGGAATGTCTAACCCAGGAGGTACAACTTTTGCATGCCAGATCAAATGCTTGCTCAAGCCATTTCCATTGTGGCACAAGGGGCACCGCGGTGGCCTGGTATACAGGAGGACGTGGGTTCGATTCCAGTCCTGACGCCTGTATATTTGTAGTTTGCATGTGTCTCTCTCCCCGTGGCGCCGTGAAATTTTTCTCCGGGTCCTCCGGTTTTCCCCTCCACATTTAAAACCGACATGCATTTAGAGTATTTGGCTGCTATAAATGTCCACGTGATAAGCCACTCCGGTGAGCTATCATTTGTGATAGCCAGGTCGCTTATGAAAAAGAGCTACATCACTCAGTGGGTCTTGCCTGGTAAAAAATAAATGCTCTAGTTGTATAATTTTATATGTTTGTGCCAACATGTAAACGCATTGCTCTCCGATATCTTTTTGGGTTGTAACTCCCGCGTGTTGTCCGCAGTGTGCAACTCCACGGGCTGGTTGGAGGCTGAATTAGCTGATGTAACTCTAACGCATCAGAGAGCTACCAGAGAGCACAAACCGCGGGAAGCCTTGTGCAGAAGCATGTAAATCTTTTCACTGCGTTGCGTTGGTCAAATTCTTGCCAATTGCATAAAAAAGTCGTGCTGAAAGAATTATATTGGGTGTTTTACGAGATTATGGCATGTCCTTCAGTTGAGAACAAAATATTTTTGGACATTATCTCTTTTTATTTCTTATTCCAGTGCGTATTTGTGGTCACATCCAGGAAGCACGAGAGTGATTTCGCAATGAGCCTCTGTTTGCAACGGGCACACAAACAATTAAAATGAATAACTGGTGCATTTCAACACACGTAAGCTCCAGAGTTTGCATGCATAACCAATGCTGCCGAGTAATATTTACTTGGGAAAGCTGATGCAATAAAAACATAAATACATAAATTTTCATGCTGAGAGATGAGCGTAGCTCTCTATTTATTTTAATGGAGTGGTTGAGAAAGACAACGGCAGAGGAATGGAAAGCCACCGAGAGAACGTGTGCGCAGGTGCTGGGTGGATTGTTTCATTCTAGGATGGTGTGTGGGGTCGTGGTGGTGGTGGCAGCTTTGAGGAGGCCTTCAACCAGTGGTACACCAATCAGTGTGTACATACAGTGAGGGAAAACAGTATTTGATCCCCTGCTGATTTTGTACGTTTGCCCACTGACAAAGAAATGATCAGTCTACAATTTTAATGGTAGGTTTATTTGAACAGTGAGAGACAGAATAACAACAACAAAATCCAGAAAACGCATGTCAAAAATGTTATAAATTGATTTGCATTCTAATGAGGGAAATAAGTATTTGAACCCTCTACAAGACATGATTTAGTACTTGGTGGCAAAACCCTTTTTGGCAATCACAGAGGTCAGACGTTTCTTGTAGTTGGCCACCAGGTTTGCACACATCTCAGGAGGGATTTTGTCCCACTCCTCTTTGCAGATCTTCTCCAAGTCATTAAGGTTTCGAGGCTGATGTTTGGCAACTCGAACCTTCAGCTCCCTCCACAGATTTTCTATGGGATTAAGGTCTGGAGACTGGTTAGGCCACTCCAGGACCTTAATGTGCTTCTTCTTGAGCCACTCCTTTGTTGCCTTGGCCGTGTGTTTCGGGTCATTGTCATGCTGGAATACCCATCCACGACCCATTTTCAATGCCCTGGCTGAGGGAAGGAGGTTCTCACCCAAGATTTGACTGGTACATGGCCCCGTCCATCGTCCCTTTGATGCGGTGAAGTTGTCCTGTCCCCTTAGCAGAAAAACACCCCCAAAGCATAATGTTTCCACCTCCATGTTTGACGGTGGGGATGGTGTTCTTGGGGTCATAGGCAGCATTCCTCCTCCAAACACGGCGAGTTGAGTTGATGCCAAAGAGCTCCATTTTGGTCTCATCTGACCACAACACTTTCACCCAGTTGTCCTCTGAATCATTCAGATGTTCATTGGCAACTTCAAACGGGCATGTATATGTGCTTTCTTGAGCAGGAGGACCTTGCGGGCGGTGCAGGATTTCAGTCCTTCACGGCGTAGTGTGTTACCAACTGTTTTCTTGGTGACTATGGTCCCAGCTGCCTTGAGATCATTGACAAGATCCTCCCGTGTAGTTATGGGCTGATTCCTCACCGTTCTCATGATCATTGCAACTCCACGAGGTGAGATCTTGCATGCAAGCCCCAGGCCGAGGGAGATTGACAGTTCTTTTGTGTTTCTTCCATTTGCGAATAATCGCACCAACTGTTGTCACCTTCTCACCAAGCTGCTTGGCGATGGTCTTGTAGCCCATTCCAGCCTTGTGTAGGTCTACAATCTTGTCCCTGACATCCTTGGAGAGCTCTTTGGTCTTGGCCATGGTGGAGAGTTTGGAATCGGATTGATTGATTGCTTCTGTGAACAGGTGTCTTTTATACAGGTAACACGCTGAGATTAGGAGCACTCCCTTTAAGAGTGTGCTCCTAATCTCAGGTCGTTACCTGTATAAGAGACACCTGGGAGCCAGAAATCTTTCTGATTGAGAGGGGGTCAAATACTTATTTCCCTCATTAAAATGCAAATCAATTTATAACATTTTTGACATGCGTTTTTCTGCATTTTTTTGTTGTTATTCTGTCTCTTGCTGTTCAAATAAACCTACCATTAAAATTATAGACATCATTTTTTTGTCAGTGAGCAAACGTACAAAATCAGCACTGTATGTAAGGCTGACAACGTTTAAAACAATTTCTGAGGACAGGCCCAAAGGACCAGCAAAATCAAACGGACAACAACAACCAGGTTATAACAACAACAACAACCAGGTTATAACAACATGGAAAAAATGGACCATGGCATCGAATTTTCGAAGATGACCACTGCAAACGGAAGAAGCAGACAGAAAATTGTTTTGACCTGCAGTGTGGTAGTTGAACAAAGTGGATGAGACAAAACAGTCAGTCTGGTAGACCGGATCTTCAACATTGGTGGGGGGAATCACTGAGTGAACCATGGTAGAAGCGAGAGATGGGTGATAGGGAGGTGACTGACCGCCAATGAGCCAGTGACCGGAGTGATTCAGCGAATGCCTGACCATCGATCGATGTAACTGCTGTTCGTTGAACTCTATCCGGTGCAGTGAATTGGGAGCTGGATGCTCCACCCCAGCAAGAGTACTTCCAACTTCGGACATATTTGTGCTTCGTAGAGTCCAGGTGGTAAAAATTGTTTGTTGATAAAGAAAGTTATCTCCCGAAATTATAAACATAGCCATTCGATGACAGGTCAGATAAGACTGTTGCACCAATCAGATGAATTATTTTTCTATGAATAAGAATATCATCGTTCAATATATTGGGCGGAACTTTGGTGATTGTATTGTATTCGAGTCAGTGGTGATTTATAATGAAGTATCTAGACAGGGTTGGGCAGCTCGAGGTATTTTCAGATTTTTATTTAAATATAAGTATCATGCTTAAAGTGTCCTACCATCGGCAAAGCAGTGGCCCATATTGTGAGTGACAGATAGGAAGCCATTAATAGATGGAATAAATAAAAGTTTGAGGCAAAACAGATCCTCGTGTTCACGCCGGAATTGATGGGGAAGGTATCAGATTGGCCACCATCAACCACCGTATGTATTGACCCATCCATTAGAAAGCTTGAACTCCAGGCTTGGCGATTGGGGTGGATGCCAAATGAGGGCACCTTGACAATTTAGCGTGGGATGTGTATCCCGCATGTGTCAAAAACTCATGCGCACATTATTAACATGGTCTAAATATATCATGCGCAGTTGCTGCAATGCATTTCTTTCCAGTGTTTGCAAACGTAACTTGTCAGATTCGAATTTGTATGTCCACGATCAATTTGGGCAGGTGGGAAGGTGTTTGAGCGGCGGCATAGTTG